TCTTTTTTTAAGACTTTATTTATTCCTGAGAGACCCACAGAGAGAGGCAGAGACACAGGCAGAGCGAGAAGCCGGCTCCCTGCGGGGAGCCCCATTGACTCCATCCCAGGACCCCAGGACCCCGGGGTCAAGCCCTGAGCCCTGAGCCCAAGGCAGGCGCCCCCACATTACAATATTACTGAATGTCTTCCCTGTGCTGTACTTTCATCCCAGTGACTTACTTCACAACTGGAAGTTTGTACCTCGTAATCCTCTTCCCCCATCTTGCCATCCCCGCACATCCTTGCACACGATTTTGGTTTTGAACACCTATTTTAACTTTTTTTATTTTAATTTTTTAAAAGTAATCCCCACACCCAAGGCGGGGCTTGAACTCACCACCCCGAGATCAGGCGTCCCGCGCTCCCCCCCGCCTTACCCCATCTCACATTTTTCACGTTACTTGCACCCACGCGTGTGTATTGAATTGTCCACAATTTTACCAGCTGGGGAACTTCGTGCCTCCACCACCACACGGACCCCGCCCTCCCACCCACCCCCACCCACAGCCCCCAATCCCCGGCAGCCACTCCTCCGTCCTCCACTTCTAGAATGTTCTCATCTCAAAAATGCAGCGTGTGACCCGCTGGCACCGGCCTGTTTTCACTCCGCATACTCCTCCGGATTTTAAAATTTCCTCGAGGGATTCCCTGGGTGGCGCAGCGGTTTGACGCCTGCCTTTGGCCCAGGGCGCGATCCTGGAGACCCGGGATCGAATCCCACGTCGGGCTCCCGGTGCATGGAGCCTGCTTCTCCCTCTGCCTGTGTCTCTGCCTCTCTCTCTCTGTGTGTGTGACTATCATAAATAAAAAAATAAAAATAAAAAAAAAATAAAATAAAACTTCCTCAACTGGGAGGGCCCAGGGCGGGCCTACCTGTAGCCACACTTTCCTCCCAGCTGTCACGACCCGACGTGACCGCTGTGCCTCAGTGTCCTCATCTGTCAAGTGGGGAGAGGAGAGCCGCTCCCGCCCCCGCCCCGCCCCGCCCCCGAGGCGCGCAAACGGCAGCCTGGGGACCAGATGCCCGCACGCGGGCCCGGGCCCCTGCATCGCTTTGTGACGTCACTCACGGTTGCCATGGCAGCAGCCAATCACGTCTGCCCGGCTGTGGCGCCTGGCCCCGCCCCGCTTGCTGGTGATTGGAGGAGGCGTTGCCTCACGCGCTCCACGGACCAATGGGGACGCGGTCCAGGCGCGGGGAGCGGACGGGCCCAGGTCCCGCGTCGCCCGCAGTGAGCCCGGCTTCCCCGGGGTACAAGCTGCGGCCTGGGACGCCTTCGCGGCCGTTGCCCAAAGCGCCCCCTTTGCAAACACCCACAAAAGGGAGGCTAATGATTTTATTTCTTGAGGGGCCCAGTTCCCCTGTGTATGGAAGATTCCTGAAGCTCGCAGGGTGGGGATGCTGTGGCCCTCGCCCCCTCTTGAAGTTCTCCCCATGACATAAGAGCTGGGGGGGGCGGGGGACACACCGTTGCTCTGTCGTGTGGACGGTTGCTTGGGGCTCCGCAGGCAGGCGGGGGCGGCGCTCTAGGCTGCGCACTGCGCAAACCGAGGGTGCTCGGCCCTCTCCCCAGAAACACCCGCCGGGGCAGGACCGGGCGGCCCCTGCGTGCTGGCAGCTGTGCTAGTCCGCGGCTGCTGCGTGCTAACAAATGGGCCCCGGCCAAGGGCCTCGAAGCCGCGGTACTCACGCGTCCTCCCCTCACCGTTTCTGCGGCCCAGGCATTCAGAAGCGGGTTGGCTGCGTGGTTCCGGCTCGGGCTCTTGTGAGGTTCGGGTCTACACGCGGGCCCGCGCGGCTGCCTGGTCTGAAGGCCCGGCTGGGGCTGCAGGACCCGCTCCCGGGTGACCCCGGGGCTGCTGGCTGCTGGCGGGGCTCGGGCCCTGACGGTGGGCCCCGGGGCCCCTCCAAGCACTGCCTGAGCGTCCTCAGGGCCCAGCCGCGCCCTCGCCCCCAGCAGCGACCCCAGAGGCCGCAAGGTCCCTGGGAGACACAGGCCAGGCCTGGTCCCCATACAGGGTCCCCACGGCGACGTGGCCACCAGGACACTGGGCGGGGGCATCTCGGGCCGCACACAGGAGACCATCTGGTGACGGGAAACGGTGGTGCAGCGCGACCCGGGAGGTCGGCACCTGCCCCTTCTGGGCCGGGGGTCTCGCTCCAGGTCTCCGGCTGGCTGGGGGGGTCCGCTGTGGGGGGTGTCACTGGCCCAGGCCTGGCTGATGGGCTTCCCCAGCGACTTTTGCACACCTAGGGAGGCTTTGGCCCCTTCCTCCCTAGGGTGCTGAGAGCTCGCTCACCAGCCCGGGCCCTGTCACCAGGCCGCAGGAGCCCAGTGTCCAAACAAGAGACGGGGAGGGCAGGGAAGAGGGGAAGAGCACGGCAGGGGAGCCCTGTGGGTCACCCGAGGCACATGCAGTGGCGCCTGCATCAGGAGCCAGCCCTTCACGTTGCTCCTCACAGTTAGGAGGGGTCCTGTCATTTGTAACACGATGCCATCAACAGGGGAATGGCGGTTCACAACACGTCCCCACCCACAGGCATGTCCCCGGCCGCCAGCAGGAGCGAGTCCCCCACTCCACCCTGGGGATGGACCCCAGCCCACGGCGCTCAGGGAGGGAACCACAGGAGGCTCCACAGGGCGTGAGTCCACGTGTGTGACATGTGCAAGACAGGCTTGTCCATGCACGGGGAGGGGGCTCGGGGGGGGCCAGGGGCTGGGGGGGAACCAAGGGAGGTGACGGCTGATGGGAGGGCAGTTTCCTTTGGACTCATGGAATGTTCTGGAACTAGATAGAGGCGATGGTTGCACAACATCGTGAATGCACTCAGTGCCACTGGGTAGTGCACTTTAAAATCGTTAATTGCAGGTTATGTGAATTTCTCATCAATAATAACAATAAAAGGACAAAGGCCCGATGTAAGCACCCGGTGTTCGCCCTCTCCCTGCGCCGTCCTCTTCCACCCACACTCCCCCCCTCCCTGAGTCTCCACCGGCCCTTCCAGTTCCCGCCCCTGTTTTACACAGAGCGATTTCTCCTCCCACGTCAGGCCACACAAGGCCCGTGGCCTCCCCACCCTCCGTGGCCTCCCCAGGCCCTAAATGCCGCTGCCTTCATCCCGCCCCTGCGAGGGAAGCCCGAGGCCGACCTCCACCCGGTGCAGAAACATGCCCAGGCACGTGGGGGGGGGGCGGGGGGTGACGGGGGGCAAGGTCACGGGGATGGCTTCCTTCTCTTCTAGGGGAGCACAGGTGTGGGTAAACGGAAAAGAACCAGCTGGCCCTGTGACCTCCCGGCGAGCGCTGTGGCTCTGTCCTTTGGCAATTTGTCACAAATCGGTGGCGTCCACATTTTACTCTTGGAATTGATGGTAAGTAGTTTAAAAGGGAAAGCCCTGCTTGGAAGGTGTCCAGGCCCCGCACGGTCCGTCCCCCAGCGGGCTGCCCCCCCCCACAGGCAGGTGCGCCCCCAGGGCAGGGGGTCCTGAGCAGGCTGTGGAGGACCCCGTGTGGTGCTGCGGCTCCGTCTGAGGGGCGCCCCTACGCCCGGTGGCTTCTCTCCTGATGGACGCGGCAGGGGGCCCGACCAAGGGACGATGACAGGGACAGTCATGGGCTCACGCTGCATGAGGTGCTGCGTGGGCACCGGACACCCTGCTTCTCCCAGAACCGTCTCTTTGCATCTTTGTTGCTTTTTCCCCCGATTCCAAAGGAAACGTGCTTTTAGAAATGCCGCGTCAGGCCTGTCAATGCTTCAGTTTCTATCTGTAAAGCGGGTCTCCCCCCAGCACTGTGGATATCGGGGGTCCCGGGCGCTGGGGGCGCTGAGCAGCCTCCCTGGGCCCACCCACCACCTGCCGGGTGCCAGCAGCACCCCCAGCCTGACAACCACAGAGGTCCGGAGCCATCGCCTGGGGTCCCTGGGGCGGCACCCCCTCAGGAAGGCCTAAGGATGAGCACATTTTATAAAGAAAACTCTAACAATATCATATCACACGCTTAAAAAATTCTCCACCTCCACACATGTGCACCGGGCCTGTTCCCATGAGTTCCTCCCATGCACGTGCACACCTGTATTGGGGGGGCAGGGGAGCCGGCTCAGGACCCCCCACCTCGGCAGCCATTTAGGCTTTTTCATGATGGATCCCCCCCCAGGGCGGGGGGTGTTGACAACGCAGATTTCGAGGGTGGCTGTCCCAGAGAATCACACCGCTGGGACACATCCCCCCTCTACAGACAGGGAAACTGAGGCTCGGCTGTGCCTGTCAGGGTTACCCTGCTCGGGGTGGAGTGGTTGCTCCACGAGCCCCCGCACACCCGGGCTGTGCCCTGTCGCCAGTGCTGCTGGCCTCGACACCTCCTTTCCGCTCTCATTCTGGTCCCCTCGGAGTCCAGTCTCTGTGTCCCTGTTTCCTCTATGGTCACCTGCTGACATCAGCTCCCCAGACGGGGGGGGCTCAGGCCTGTCATCTGCCGAGTCACCTCCCTCCTCCTGGGGAACCTGACCTGGAGGACTTAAAACCCCGTCAGGTTAAACCAGTCAGGTTTCCCCAACCCCAAGGTGTCAGATCTCAGGCTCCCCCGCTTTCTGCTTGCCCACTGGCCGCGTCCTTCCTGAATCCGGGTCTCTCGGAGAGGTGTCTCCTCCCAGCCCAGACACCCCCTTCCTTACAGCTCGGGCACTGAGCAGTCGTCACCCACTTCAGCTCTCTGGCCACGGCGTGACCCCACTCTTGCTCGGGTTCCTGGGGACCTGGCCCTTCTGGCTCCGCCACAAAGGGCAGTGGGCTCAGAGCCCGCCGGCCTGAGTGTCCCCCTGCTAATGCATCTTGAACTCCACAAGGGAGGCAGACGCCAGGCTATAGAGTCAACTTCTCTTTAATGAAAAAGGAGCAAAGCCAAAGAAAAGTGGGGGTTGAACAGGCAAGGACCCCCAGCTCCTAGGCTGCCCCTAGGGACACCCCTCTGGGGAGACAGCAGAAGCGGGACTGGGGCTGGGGACCCGGTCACCTTGCAGGGGGCACTAGATGCTCTGCAGCATGTGAAGAGCGTGGACAAGGCGCGGGCGGGCTTGTGGGGCGCAGCCGGGGCTCTGCAGGGCGCCCCGGGGGTAGGAGGTGCGGGGCTGGCCGCCCTCCCAGACCGTGAGCCGCAGCTCCTCAACGCCGCCACTCAGCACCAGGTGAGCCCCGTCGCCCCTGCCGCTGATCTGCGGGGGGTGGTGGTGAGGAGCCGGGTCAGGGAGGGAGGGCCCCCACGCGGCCCCCCGAGGACCAGGGCACCCCGGCGCTCACCTGCACCGTCCCGTCGCTGAAGAGCAGCAGCAACGCCCGCTCGGACACAAGGAAGCGCAGCAAGCAGAGGCTGGGGGCCGCTGGGGGGGGCGAGGGCCGGGCCCCCTCCTGCAGACAGGCCCAGCCACAGTCTCAGGGCGGAGCAGGGGGCCCCACCTGGCCCGCCCCACCTGGCCCGCCCGCCCCGCCTCCCCTGGCTCACCTGGCGCACACGCCGCCGCCGTAGGCAGCAGGTGAAGAGCCGGAGGACGGCCAGCTTGGCGGCCAGCGGGCGGGGCACGTCCCTCGGGGTGAACGTTTCCAGCTTCCCCCGGCCGGGCACGTAGCACACTCGGCTGGGGGTGGGGTGCGGGGTGGTGCCGGCCGTCACGGGCTCTCCCCTGGGCCCTCGACGCCCGCGGACAGCCCCCCCAGCTGCACCCCTCGGACCGGGATTTGAAGGCCGGCCCCGTCCACGCCTCCGCCCCGCGGAGCCCGTCCATCCTGAGATCCTGGCCCCAAGCCCATCCCTTTGCCATCGCCCCACCTGGCCTTGTGGCCGCTCTGACCTCCCAAGTCCAGCTCCAGCCCCCTTGCGTCCCTCAGCCACCACCCCGGCCACTGCCATTCCCTGCCTGGCTAGGCCAACCACCTGCCTGTGGTCCCTTGTGTCACTCCTGCCAGAAAGGTCACGTTAAAAGTGTGACTTGGGGACATTTGGGGGACTCAGTGGATGAGCATCTGCATCGGGTTCCCCGCAGGGAGCCTGCTTCTCCTCTGCCTGTTTCTCTGCCTCTGTGTGTCTCTCACGAATAAATAAAATCTTAAAAAAAGCGTGACTTGGACCCACCCTTCCCGTCCTCGCTGCCTCCCCACCTCACTCCACTCCTCAAACCCACCAGGCTGGGCCCCATGTCAGGAGCTTTGCACATGCTGTTCCTGGACCTCAGATGCTGTTCCTGATGGGCTCCTTCTCACCTTCCATGTCTCGCCTGAGTGTCACTTCTTCAGAAAGCCCCTCCACTACCAGGCTGGTCGGGGGTCACCTCCACCTGCCCCCCATCGGTCACCTCACCCAGCTCATTGCCTTCGCAAATCCGCCTCCTGAAATCTCCTGGGTCATTGGCGTAGCGCCGTGTGGGGCCCAGCAGGCAGCCCGTGCCCACAGGCGTGCACGTTACTAAGTGCTCGAGGGAGGGACGCAGAAAGATGGGAGGGTGGACAGGAGCCCCATGACTTACTCCCCCGGGGGGCGCAGGGCCATGTGTGTGCCATCCCGAAGCAGGACACCGCTGCCCCCATCCGACAGCTGGTAGCCGAAGCCGTACTTGCTGGAATAATCCACCCACTTGGGGGCCCAGAGGATGGGCCGCTGCTCTCCTGGGAGGTCCTGTGTGGCTGGGTAACGGGTGTCAGGGGGGTCTGGCGGAGGAACGGCGGAAGCCCAGAGCATAAAACAGAAGAATAAGAGAATCCAACTGGATCCCACGAGAAAGAAGAGGCTCCAAGGACAGCGAGCAGGGGGGCAGGACCCGGGGGAGGGGGGGTGGATGAGAAAGGAAGAAGGGCGGTGGTCGCTGGACTCTGGGGAGCAGGATGGTGTCACTGTGCCCTGAAGCCTCCCTCAGCTCTGTCCACCCCCCCAGGGGAGCCCCAGAAATACGCAGGGTCTCTGGACAGAGCAGGACGCTGTGCTCGGACGTCAGGAGGAAGGTGGCCCCCAGGGCTGCGCTGGGTTCCTACCTGGGAGGCCCGGGTCCAGGCAGAGCCGCAGGTTTCTGATGGCCACCTCCACCTCCTGCCTCTGGCTCCCCTTGGGCCCTGGGTGGGGAGGGGGACGGGCAGGCCTGGACCCCCACCACGATGCCCCCCACCAGCCCTGCCCCAAACTGCTGAATCTGGGAAAACTTTCTCTTAAACCCAGAAGGAATCCGGCCACCCCTCCTGCTTTACAGGTGTGAAAGCTGAAGGCAGGGAGGGAGCACGACCCTGGCGAGGCCCAGTGATCGCTCCCAGGACCTCGATACCCTCGTTCCCCACCAGCAGCCCCTAGGATGGAGTGTCCGCTCACCCGCTGGGTCGCTCCTGAGGGTCCCGTGGGTGAGCAGGTGGACGGGGACCTCCGGGTGGGGAGCCCCTGTGTCCAACAGGGTGGCCTGGGGAAGAAGCAGGGGTGAGGGGAGGCCCTAGCCCCCACCAGAACCCAGAGGTAGGTGAGAGGCTCCATCCTCTCGCTTGGGAGACCCCCCGACTCTCCCCTCCGCGCAGTCCTGTTGTGAGAATGTGCTCCACGAGCCTCCAGCCTCCCCTGCCCGGAGCCCTCACCTCACTGCCCCACTCCATGGGGTCAGGATCTGATCCACCTTCTCCAGGACCCGAGGCCTCGCTAGCCATGATGGGGCCTGAGGGAAGCACAAGACTTTTCGGGGGGCGAAGCCTGGCCCCCCACATCCTCCTCTGCCATCGCTGGGGAGCGGCAGAGCAGGTGGGAGGACTGACAGGTGCTGAGACGCGAGCCGGCCGGGCAGGTGGGAGCAGGCGAGGGGTGGGCGGGTGCTGTACTCACAGGGGGGCCGGCACTGGGGCAGGAGCAGCCGGCCCACCTTCCTGAAGAGCCTGCCCAGAGGCTGGGGCACGGTGAAGAAGGGTGGGCTGTGGCAGGAGCGGGCTGGCAGCCGGTCGGGGGTGAAACCCTTCGGGGGGCCCACGGGGTCAGCACCCGGCACAGGCCGCCTGGCCTCTGAGCCCCGCCATCCCAGGGCGTGCCCCACCCGTCGAACACCACACACCTGGGTGAAGAAGTCGTCCTGCAGCAGGTGGTCCAGGCTGGGCCGTTCCGCTGGGTTGGGCGCCAGCAGGCGGGCGATGAGGCGGCGCGCGTTGGGTGACAGGTGGGCGGGCTCGGGGTAGCGGCCGTCTCGGATGTTTTGGTACATCTCGGACAGGGGACCCACCACGAAGGGAGGGGTGCCAGTCAGCACTGTGTACCTGACCCGGGGGGTGGGGGGCAGGATCCTGAGTGCCTGCTTGCATCTGTCCTCGGTGTCCAGGCTTGGCACACACCTACCTTTGCACACCTGGCCATACCCACCCCACTCTCCTACTCTGCACAGGCTTTGCATCCACTCCCCCATAGCTGCCCTACATCTGCTCCCACCTGGCCATTCCTGTCTACCCGATTGACACCACCAGATGTCTGTACACCTGCCTGCACCTGTATACACCTGCCTTTACCTTCCAGTTCTCTTTTACTCATGTTTGCACCTGTCCCACTCCTGCATATACCTCATAACTGTATGTATATACCCAGAACTGCTTATGTGTCAACCACCTGCAAATACCTGTCCACACCTCTGTGCATGCTCAAACCTATCTTCCCTTGCACATACATGTTCCATATGCACTATTCATACCTGCACACCTGCATGATGGCAGGTGTGTGCCCCCGCCTGCCCCACACCTGCACACGCCTGTCCACATCTGTCCTATGCACACTCTCACCGCCTGTTCCCTTCTATATACTTATGCCTGTCCTTACCTGTCCCATGCATGCTTCCACCTGCCCACACCTGGCCCCACCTGGGTACTCCTGACCCTCTTCTCCAGGACCCACTCACATGATGCAGCCAAGAGCCCAGAGGTCTGACTGGCAGGAGTGCCCATTCCTGGAGATGACCTCCGGGGCCAGGAAGTTTGGGGTCCCACAGAGCACTCTGGGAGGGGATAATGGGGGGCTCAGGAAGGCCGGGGCCCACAGGCCAATCTGGTCCTACTTGTGTCTCCGCAGAGAGACTGCTGAGAGCTGCTCACTTACCTGTGGCAGTGGCCCCCCGGGCCCACCCTGGCGGCCAGCCCCAGGTCTCCAATCTTTACCACCATGTTCTTGTTCAGGAAGAAGTTACCTGCCAGAGGGGAGGGGCTATGAGGGCAGAGCCACATCCCAGCGCCCCCGTCCCCCACGAGGACCCGTCTCCATGCTCACTGGGCTTCAGGTCACGGTGCACGATGCGCCGCTGATGCAGGTAGCGCAGCCCGCTGACCAGGCCCCGCAGGTAGTAGCGCACCTCGGGCTCCGTCAGAGTCCGCCGCGCCTCCAGAACGTGGGCCAGTGACTGCAGGTGACCGGCAGGGGGCGGCGGTGGCGGCAGCGCAAGGACACACAGGTGAACACAGGTACGCTCAGGTGAGCCCAAAGAGGAATACAGTTCAGGTGGGCCCAGGTGGCCGCAGGTAAGTTTGAAAAGGGCCAGAGGATCCGCGATGAACCCAAAGTTGGTACATGCAGGGCACGGGGATGGGGGTGAGCACAGGTGTGCTCAGGTGGGCATTACTGCCTTAAGGTGGTCCCACAGGGCCACAGACGCAGATGGGCCAATGGATAAACTGGGCATGAGTAGACACAAGCAAGTCAAGAGAGCCGAGATGGGCACAGGTGCATGAGGGATGAGCACAGATGGGCCTGGTGTGGACACAGGTGGAGACAGGTAAGTACAGAGAGACAGGTGAGCACAGCAGACGCGGGTGGGGGGGGTGGGGGGGGACAGAGGCATGCGGGCTGCGGGCTCCCTCTGCGCCCATCCCCCCGCACCTGGCGGCTGCAGTACTCCAGCACCATGTACACGTTCTCGCGGTCAGCAAAGTGTCCGTGGAGGGCTACAATGTTGCGATGCTTCAGGCGGCTGTGCAGGGCGATCTCCCGGTCCACCTGCAGGTGTGGCCCCACACGTCCGCCCGCCGCTCGGGCCCAGGGGCAGAGCCTCCACCCCGTGCACGGGCCTCTCTGGGGACCGCCGGTGACCTGGGGCCCCGGGGCTCTCAAGGTCCGGGCCTACCTTACCACGGGGGCGCAGTCGCCCGGCCGCGCCCCCAGCGCGAGGCACCACCTTGAGGGCAAACACGGCACTGGTGGACATGTCCATCAGCTTGTAGCAGCGGCTGAAGGCGCCCTGCCGGGAGGGGGCGACAGGTGTGCGGACAGGTAGCCAGGCCTCTCCGTACACGTACAGACACACACACACACACACACACACACACACACACAGGAGATGCGCGGACGCACAGCTCACACCCTCATCCCTGCGTTCGCAGCCACAAGAACACAGGAAGGGACCACAGCACGCGGAACACGACCCGCTCCCCACCGGGACGCAGAGACCGCAGGGCTGGGGCGCACGTTCACATACGCACGCGGAGACCCCGCCACCGAGTTTCTACAAAGGCCGGATAGCGGTGACACGCGAGTGCACACCCGCACCCCGGGACGCGCAGGGGGGGCCCCGCGCCCGCGCCCCCGCGCAGCACTGCCCGGCGCCCGACCCAGCCGCCCAACCCCAGACCCCAGACTCGCAGAAGCAAAACCCGGGGGCGCCCCTGCTCGCCGGGGCCGCGATCGCGCGCGCACAGCCCGCCCTGCCCGAGCGCCCCGCGCCCCGAGACCCTCGCCCGGACGCCTAGCGCGGGCCCCGCACCTTGCCGATGAGCTTCCCGCGCCTGTACACGCGCCCGGAGCTCGGGTCGCGCAGGAAGGCGGAGACCGGCGGGCGGGGAGTGCGGGGCGGCCGCGGCCCGGGCTCCATCCCTCCCGGCGCCGGGCGCAGCCTCGGCCCGACCCCCGCTGCTCTGGGGCCGGCGCCGCAGGGGCCGCGTCTTATTGGCTGAGGGGGGCGGGGGGCGGGGCGGGGGCGGGGCCAGGCGCCCGAGGCGGCAGGTGTGCGGCGCGCCAGCCCTGTGCCTCCCGCCAGGCGGTGAAGTGTCAGCGCGCCCATTTCCCTGAGCGGGAAACTGAGGTCAGAGAGATGGTCTCGTCCTCTCAGAAGCCCCAGGGAGCCGCGAGCGGAGTGGCTCTGGGGAGCAGTGGCGGGATCCAGAGGACAGGGAAGGAAGGCCGGGGCTGGTTGGGAAGGGAGGGAGGGCTGGGGCAGGGACCAGGAGGGCCGGCTCGGTCGAGGTGTCAGATACGGAGGACATTAGGCAGCGAGAAGGAACAGAATCAGGGGACCGGAGGGCAGACACGGGCGTGTGACTCCTGGCGGGGAAACATAAGCACCGTGGACCCTCCCGGGAACCCGCAGGGACATCTCTGAGCCACACGGCAGGCTGTTCCAGGCCCCTCCCTGTGTCCTCTCATGTCACCCTTACATCAGTCCTGGGACACAGGAACTGGCCTTTTCCCCATTTTACAGGTGGGCGCACTGAGGCCTGGGGGGCCCAGGAGGGCCCAGGGCTGGACTGGAATCCAGGCGGCGGCTCTGGATGCCACAGTATTAATCCCCGAACGTTACATAACACGGAATGGGGAGGGATTAGCAGGGCTCCCTGTGGCTGGAGTCAGGCCTTGGAATTTTACAAGAGATCAGATTTCGGAATCCGGCCCGGTCCTGCCGCCAGGGACGGGAAACACCTCCTGAGTTATCACATGTCCACCTGGTGTGTCCAACGGGGGCAACCGGGGCATGGGGGACCCTCAGGGGGCCCCAGCGCAGGGGGCAGAGCAAGGCTCGGTTCCTTTGTGGGGGACGGGCCTCAGCACCGCAGCCAAGGTTTTGAGGTTGGCATTGGGGGCCGCTTGCGGCAGCCCGGGAGCCCAAGATCCCTGCTGACAGGCCTGGGCCATCGTGTCACTGTCGCCCTGAGATCTGCACTCCTCCCCCTGCAGGCTAATCCGGGCATCTGAGAAGCCCCTCCAGCATCAGCATGTGGAAGGTGCGCTGGGCTCCGCGGCCCGCAGGAGGACCGCGGGAGATCGCCCCGACTCAAGCACGGTGGCTCCGGGGCCAGCGGCCAGCGAGGGCGAGCCAGGCCCCTTGCGGGCAGCAGCTGGTCCCTGCATGGGGGGCCGGCTTAGCCCCATGTTACGGGGAGAAAACCCAGCCTCAGGCAGGCATATGCGAGCCCAGGATTGCTGGACTGCACTCCGAGTGCGGCCTGGAGCCCAGAGCCCCTGTCCACACCCCCCACCCCACCCCACTGGGGGCCCTGGGAGCCCCTGAGACCCTGGCCGGGAGCCTCATGGCCTGCATGACAACTGTACCGACCCCAGCTCTGCCCCCCTCCTGGCCGAGCCTCTAGCACAGGCCCAGACCTCCCATTCTCAGCTGCCCCTCAGCGAGGACCCCTCCCCAGCCACTCTAGGATGAAAATTAAATTACAGTAAAACATAAAACACAACCGTCCATAACAGCGTAACTCCCAACTGCTAAGAGCTGGGTGGACACACCCCAGGTGTCCATCAATGGATGAATAAACACAGCACAGTCCATGGACACCCTGGATACGACCTGGTCTCGGGGAGGAAGGGGCCCGACACCTGCCCCCACGTGGACGGACCCCGAGGACACCAGGCTCAGGGAGGGGACCCAGACCCAGAAGGACGCCTCCCGCAGGACCCCACTCCCAGGAGGTCCCCAGAGGAGGCCCATCCACAGAGACAGAGAGGAGGTGGTGGGAGCCAGGGGTGGGGTGGGGGGTGGGGGTCAGTGCTTCCTGGGGACCGGTCTCCGTGTGGGGAGATGGAAGGTTCTGGAGACGGATGGTTGCAGGATGGGGTGAGTGTGCTGCGTGCCACTGCCAGTGAAAAACACTTAGGATGGTAAATTTGTTATGTTTGCCACAACAACAAATGAAGAACATTTTAGATCCCCCCTGGTCCCCAAAGAAGCCACAGCATTAGGAGGTTACTAATACCCTCAATTTTACAGATGAACAAACTGAGGCCATTTGCCTGGCAAGCAGAGGCGGGGTGGGAGGGGGCCCTGCCGACACTCCCACGCCGCCCCTGCCCACGGTCCAGAGGCGGGGTGGTCTCAGGCTGGCCCCCAGCCCGGCCTCCCACCTCGTCCCCGCCGAGGCCCCAGGCTCCGGGCCGCAGGTTTGCTTTCTGTCTCGTCTACTCCTCCACTGACCTGAGATAACTCCCCAGACTCAGCACATTTCCTGGGAGAAATGCGGGAAGCTTCGCTCAAAATACCTGCCGCAGGTGGAGGGGGCGGCAGAGAGCCAGGCCTCCCTGGGGAGGCTCACACGGCAGGGGCGGGGGAGGCGCCAGAGGGAGAGCGCGAGGCTCCGAGCTCCGAGCTCCGTCTGTCCGGCCTCCTGGCCTGGGAAAGGCCCGCGTGCTGAGCGCGCCCCACCCGCAGCTCCTCGGGGACAGCCGAGAGCTCAGAAACCCCATGACTGCGGCTATGCGCCGCGTCCACACCGGCCCAGCACTGAGGGGTAGGCTAGACTTGGCTCCCCCGCCCCAGGACCAAACTTTGCCCTTGCCTCTCCCAGGCGGCTCCTTCTAGAAGCACTGCCCTCTCTCGTCCTCGTCCTTCCCGACACCCCTCTGCAGGCTTTTCCCCCACCCTTCTTCCAAGTCTCTCCGGTTATCCTTTGAGGCTCCTCTTCCTTCTCTCAGGGTCTGCAGCTGGGGGCCTGGGGCCCTGTCCCCTTTCTTCACTTCCCTTGACCTCATCCAGGCCAGCAGGACACTGAAGCAGGACGCGTGTCTCTCCTCCTATATCTGGGTCTGGGCTCTGCCGAAAATTGGAGCCTGAAGCAAGGGTTTGGTGCGGTGGGTTGTATTGTAGAGCAGGGGTGAGGGGTTGGGGAGGAGCGGGCAGGGTGGGCCCTGGTCAGCCCCGTGGGTCCCTAAGGAGCTGGATACAACATTCCTCAGGACTGTCCGCCCATGAGGAAGACAAGGGGGGTGTCAGCCCCCTGGCCGCCCCCTCCCTGACCAGGGCCTCCCCACTGGACACCGTGTCATCCACCCAAGTCGGAATGGCTGTGGCGGGCGGTCCGTGCTGCCGCTGGGAGAGCAACGGAATACACAGGTGGGATGGCAGGTGCCCGCGGGTGGTGCCTCGACCTCCCTCCAGGGACACGGATGCACTCTGGCTGTGTGCAAGGCGCTGCGTGAGCCTCAGGCCCGGCCAGATTTCTACACGAATCATCTGTATTTCATCTGCTTGGGTCTTTTTTCCAATTATGAGAAAAGTAGCTCAACGTCATGGAAGTCCTGGGTGAGATCCTGGGACAGAAAAAGGAAATTAGCTAAAAACACACACATGGTGAAATGCATATGAAGTTGGGAGTTGGGTCACAGGAATAGTAACTGCTGGGATCCCTGGGTGGCGCAGCGGTTTGGCGCCTGCCTTTGGCCCGGGGCGAGATCCTGGAGACCCGGGATCGAATCCCACATCGGGCTTCCGGTGCATGGAGCCTGCTTCTCCCTCTGCCTGTGTCTCTGCCTCCCTCTCTCTCTGTGACTATCATAAATAAATAAAAATTAAAAAAAAAGGAATAGTAACTGCTAACACATTAATTAGTCATAGCGGTGAGCCGGCGCCAGCGCCTGAGCTGCCACAGCAAGTGCCCGTTTCCTGAGGCTACTGTAACAAATCACACAAAGTCTGTAGCTTTAAAAAAATCACCCGTTTATCAACCTCACGTGGTGAGGTGAGTGAACCAACCTCACTTGGTTTCACAAGTTGGGAGTCCTAAAACCCAGGCGTGGACAGAGCTGGTCACCCCTCGTCCTCCCGGGCCCCAGGGAGATCCCCTCCTGCCCCCCATCTTCCAGAGGCGCCCCCTCCCGGCCCGCGGCCCCTCCTCCGTCCTCACCGCCAGCAGCGCAGGGTCTGCCTGTCTCTGGGGCTCCTCCCTGGCCTCCCTCTCGGGGGGCCCCCAGGAACCCAGGGTCACCCCCACCTCAGGGCCTGGACCAGGTCCCCTCTGCCGCAGGAGGCGACACATCCCAGGTCCTGGGACGAGGATGGGGACATCTTGGGGGGACTGGATCACACCACTGATGACAAAGTGCAGACAGAAACTAACATCTTTGCAACTTTCCGTAAATCTAAAAATTTTTCCAAAATAAGATTTTACTTAAAAAAAAAAATCAGAATCAGAAGGTCAGGCAGCCCGGGTGGCCCAACGGTTTAGCACCGCCTTCGGCCCAGGGCGTGACCCCAGGGTCCTGGGATCGAGTCCCACGTCGGGCTCCCTGCGTGGAGCCTGCTTCTCCCTCTGCCTGTGTCTCTGCCTCTCTGACCTCTCTGTGTGTCTCTCATAAATAAATAAATAAATAAATAAATAAATAAATAAATGAATGAATGAATGAAAGAAAGAAAGAAAGAAAGAAAGAAAGAAAGAAAAAGAAGGTCATTCCAAGAAATTCAAACAGAACCTATAAGGCAGCCCCTGGGTCACAGGCGACCGTGCCCAGGATCACGGCGGGCCGCAGGGGTGCTCCCGTCCACCTCCTGCCTCAACTTAGGTAACGCGCACCCTTTTCCTCTTCTGGAAATGGCACCATGTCACGCATAACTTTCTTGATTTTCGTCACCCGACCCTTGGGTGACTGGGCGGGCCGCAGGAAGCCTGCCGCCCTGCCCCCTGGGCTCCCCCCGCAGACCCCCTCGGGTGCTCCCTGGGCCTCCAGCCCCCGGCCTTGTCCCCGCCGCTCGCCTGCAGAGAAGCCCGTCCCTCACACCCTGTCCCGCCCCGCTGCCCCCCACCTCCGGGTCCCCAACCCAACGCGACACCTCCTCCAGAAGGAAGCCAGGACGCCCATTCAGACAGGGTGGGAAGCGGTCCCTGTGCCCCCAGGTTCTGCTGCCGGCGGCTGTGCCGCTCTGCACCTCACTGTCCAGGCCTGGCAAGTGGGCGCCACAGTTCACCCTTGGGCAGCTCCAGGGAGCCAGGGTTCTGGGCCAGGGGTGGCAGGAGCCTCCCCACAGTGTCCTCGGGAGGACCAAGTGTCCCAGGGACCATGTGGCCAGCCTGAGGGATCACAGGAGGCCTGGGGGGGGGCAGGTGGAGGCCACGGGGTGTGCGGGAGCACATCTCCTGAGGCCCAAGGCTGCAGGAGCCCCGCTGACCTACATCCGGGGGGCCCATGTCCACCAGATCCCCCGGCCCCGCCTCGGGTAGGGGTCCGCACCCCCGCCTGTTGGGGGCCTGAGCCAGGGCACCGCGGAGGGGGGCCGAGGGGCGGCCCACCCGGAGTCCCCACGGCGTAAGCACCCCTCCACCTGCGCGGGGGGTGTGGAGCTGCGCTCTTGGCCTCCTTCTCTGGGAATCTGCTGAGTCCAGCTGAGCGGCGGCCAGAGGACAGAGGGGGGAGGCCGGGCCCGAGGGGGCGCGGGGGGGCGGCGGCCAGGGCTCTGTATCTTCGCCTCAGCCTGGTCTGGCACGAAGTTCCGTCCCCAAGGCGCCGGGGCCCAAGCGGCGGTGACGGCTGTATGCACCTTGCCCAGCACCCCTCCTCCCTGCGCAGGGCTCCCGCAGGACTCAGCGACCTGCCCCCCCCCCCCCCCCGGCAGCGGGCAGGGACTGCTGCATACCCCCGGAGCAGGCTGCATGCACCCCCGGGAGGCTCGGACCACTACATGCAGTCCCCGCGGGTGCAGGACCTGCTGTATACTCTCCCTGCAGAGCAGTGTCCCTGTGCATTTCCACGGGGCGCGGTGCCTGCTGTATGCACAGCCCGGGGAGCCCGAGGCGCGGCTCGGGGCGGAGACCGCCCACTTGGTGGAGCTCTTGAGCCAAGCCCGGCTCTGAGCTGCGCCCCCAGGCCCCAGGCTCCGTACACAGTAGGTGCTCAGCGGAGGTGCCTGCCGCAGCCGTCCGCCCGCCCTCCTGCCACCCTTTCTCAGGCCCTGTCCCCCCACCCTCGGCTTCACCTCTCCTAGGTCACCGCCTGCCTCTGTCAAGGGGGATGCGGGGCAGGCTCTCCCGCCCCGCCCGCACTCACGCCCTGTGACCTCAGCCATCCTGCGAACACCCAGTGTGTCAAGGGCACCCCCCCGGGTCTCTGCGGACAGACTCGGCCCTGCTCACGGCCCACGGGCGTCTCCCCCCACCCAGCGCCGCCCGCAGTGACCCCTGGGCCTGCCCCCCCGCCCCCGCAGCCTGCCCCCCTCAGCCAACGGGGACCTCCCTCCCCAGCAGCTCAGGCTGAGCTCCCGCCGCACCCCTCCCTCCCCACCGCGGCGCCCATGGGACCTGTGGGCACCACCCGCACACTCGGCTCCCTACTGGGGGCCCCTCACCTCCACCCTCAGGGCCCGCACAGCGGCCAGCCCCGGGTCGCTGCTGCCTCCTCCCTGCCTCCCTGGCCCCCACAGCGGCCAGCTGGAGCACCCCCTCCCGCCCCCGGGGCTCCCATCCCTCGGCCCTTCTCTGACCCACTGATTCTCACCTCAGGGCCTTTGCACCTGCCGCCTCCTCTCTGTGGCAATGGGCTCTTCAGTGAGGCCCGTCCCGACCCCATCCCCATCTGCAGTGGCCTGGGGTGCTCTGGTCAAAGGGAGGACTCCACCCCTCCAGGCGGGGCCTCCCTCATCCTCCCTACCGGCCTTCTCAGCTGTGCCCGCACACAGTAGGTGCTCAGGACATGCTGCGTGAATAAGTGGCTCCGAGGGGCCTGGCTCTGAGCTGCTCCAGGAGGGCCCACGGGCTGGACAGCCCCTTCCCCTCCCCACCCCATGCTCAGGGCTCCACACCCCACAGCCGGCTGCCAGGAGGAGGGGGCAGGCAAGCTGAGCCTGCGCTTGCCGGGGGAGCAGAGGGGTCCCCACCCCCTCAATCCACCTGTCAGGGGCATCATGGGCAATGTCGAGGAGTGCCAGGGGTGAGCAGAGGGGCACCTGCCGCTGCCTGCGTGGGCAGGGTGGGGGGCAGTGCGCAGATGCTGGGCTGCGGAAGGGCGGGTGGTGGGGGCCCTGGGGCCACCCCGTCCTCGCAAAAGAGCGGCGTCCACTTGGGAGAGCGTTGGGAGGAACGCCGCCACCCCACGGCCTGGTGGGAAGCCGGAATCCTAGGGCCAGGGCCAGGCGGGAGGGCGGAAGGCAGGGTGGGGCCGGCCTCTGGTGACAGCAGTGCCCGGGAATGCTCCTGGCGGGGCTGGACGGGGGCTCTCCGCGCCCCACGGCCTCTGGAGCTCACTGCTCCCAGGGCGGTGGGGCCCTGCCCTGGGGGGGCCGGGACCTGGAGGGGGACCCCGGGATTGCAGCCCAGGTGAGCAGGGTGCCTCAGCAGGGTGACCTTGACGGAGGGCTGGGGGAGAGGACCAGGGAGCGCGTCCTGACTGGGAAAGGGGACCTCGCGGGGACGATCTGGGCGTCGGTGGAAAGCGGGCAGCCCCGGGACTCCGGGCACCGCAGGGCCACCTCGCTTCTCGCACATTCCCGGGCCCTGAGCGCGGCGCCCGGAATAGCAGCCCCGGGGTGGGGGTAGGGGCGGCCAGTTCCCGCCCGGCTCCCCGCCCTGGGCTTTCCAAGGTCACCGAGAGCGGACGCCGGGACAGCGGGACGGCGGGACAGCAGGACGCAGGACAGCGGGCCGCGGCTGCCAGCCCCGGGCGGCCGGGCCAGTCCCCTGCCGCAGATCCGCGCCGAGGCGCGCGACGGCCGCGCGAGGGCGCATGGGGCTGCCGCCCCTGCGGACCCCGGCCTGGGCGCGCCCCGGGAGGCCGGGTGGGAGGGGCTGCCCGGCTCCCCCCGCCCCTCCCCGCGGGCCCCGCCGCTTCCGCTCGTCCTGGGGCCGCCCGGGGAGTCAGGACGTGCCGCCCGGGCTCTACGTAGCCGGTAAGTCCCTCTTCCTATCCTCCCACTCTCCGGGCCGGCTAGGGGCTGGCCAGGCAGCAATCCCCAGGGTGGGGGAGAGCCCTGCCCCGCTTTCTCCTGGGGAAACTGAGGCCTAAGAGGCGTGGCTTGCCCTGGAGTCACACCTGCGGTCCGGAGTGCGGCCGGAAGGAGGTGGCTCCTCCTGGAAGGGTCTCTGCGGGGTCGACCACGGGTGCTGCTAGCCCCCCACCCCTCACCTGGCCCCACCCCTCGAGCTGGTGGTGCTGTGGCCCCGGAGGGGGAGTCAGAGGGCCGAGCCCCGCCGCACCGCAGCTCTCCCACCACCTTCCTCCAGGCCAGCCAGGGCTCTGGGTTCAGAGAGGGGCGGGGACGCAGCGGGCCACACAGCCCTGGGCAGAGAAGGGGACCTGCCCACTGGTCCCCCAGGTCCTCAGCACCTGGAGCCTCCACGGGCCCCAGCCCCTGATGCGCCGGGTCCGAGTGTCAGAGCGGGGCCACTGAGGCTCAAGAGCGTGCAGAGGGTGGGCTGGCACAGGACCAGGGCCCAGGACGTCGGCCTGGAGAATGCCAGCTTGTCCTCCGCGGCTTTCGGGGACTGCTGACCCCGGGCACCTGGCCCTGGCCTGAGGAAGGACTCACAGGTGGCCCCCTGCTCCCCCCCTTCCTCCAGCAATGCCATGGTCATGAGGAGGAGGGTGTGGATGGCGAGTGACTTCGTCGTTCCCCTGACAGATGAGGAAACTGAGGCCCTGGGAGGCAGAGCCTCTCCTCCCCCCCCATCCACTCACCCCCGATGCCTCCTTTCCTGTGTCCTCATCAGAGGCCCCTTCCCTCCGCAGGCCACCCTGGTGGGGCCCACGCCCTCCGCACATGAGGTCACGCATTGACAGCTGGACTGGGGCCAGGTCACCCCCTCTCCTGATCCCGCAATCCCGGGGCTCCCTGCTGCGGGGGGCCTGGGGGCTGAGGTGGTCCCGCAGGTCCAGGTGCAGCCTGGGGGGCTTCAGCCAGGGGCTCGGCCCCTGACCCCGCCCCCACCTCCTGCACCTTCTGGAAAGTCCCTCCTAGAGCCCTGGACTGGGTCCAGCTGGTCCCCATTGCACAGATGAGGAAACTGAGGCCGGGGTAAGTGGAGTGGCTGGCCCTCGGCCACACACGAAGGTAGAAACGAGGAGGACGACGGTGGGGTGAGCGGTGATGGGGCCCCGACCCTGCAGACAGCACGCACTGGAACGACTCCCTCCACAACTACACATGGATTTAGCACCTACTGTGTACATCGGAAGACAACACACAGTCCACACAATCAGCAGATACTCCTGAGCTCTCCCCCCACTAGCGGGCCCTGTGCCACCTGTTCTTCTCACCTGACGCGACGGAGCCCCGAGACTTCCCTGTAACGGGGGCTCTGTTATTACCCCACTTTTTAGAGACAAGAACAGAGGCCCAGAGACGTTAGATTACTGCCCCAAATCACACAGCCAGTTGGGACAGAGCTGGGGCGCAGATCCTGGCCCGCTGGCGCCCCCACTGCAGCGCCCCCTCCAGAACCTCCTTCTGCTCTGGACTCTCCTGAACTGTGGTCTAGGGGGCAGTGCTCAGGTAAGGGGGACCTGGGCCCAGGGAGCGCGCAGACTTAGGGACCCGGCCCGCAGTCTGGGGGCCACCAGGCTCCTCGCCAGGCTGCTGGTGCCTCTGTCTCCCCAAGTAGGGTCCCAGTGAGTGGACCCCCTGGGGTTCCTGGAGTCGCTGTTCCAGCTCTTGTGGGCGGGGCCTCTCTGTGCGCAGCCGGCACTGCATCTGGTGAGCAGAAAGCCAAGGTTTGGCTGGGGGGCTGGGGTGTCTGCCCCTCCTTTCCTGCCTGCCCGCCCCACTCCTGGCCGCACCCTCAGCCTGCCCACACATGCTGTGCCTTTTAATCCCACTGATCCAAATGGAATGTGGGTGGGGTTGACCAGCCCAAAGTGGGGGGCGGAGGGCAGGCCAGCTCTGGGGAGAGGGTTACTGGGGGTCCTGACCACACTTGGGCCTCTGTGCTCCTCCCTGTAGGTTTCCTGGGGAGGAGTCCTGCTGGGGAGACACCCACGAGTACCGCCTCTGCCGTCTGCCGGTAAGTTCTGTCCACCTACCGGCCCCTTGGCTGTGCCTGGAAGACCTTCTGTTTCCCTGCTCGTGCCCCCAGATACACTTGTGCCACCCCACCAGGTTCTCTGGGCTCCCCTGGGGCTCTTCCAGCCTCAGACCTACCTACCTTTGTCCTCAGGACTGTCCCCTAGGGGCCATTCCCTTCCGAGACCTCCAATGTGCCCTCTACAATGGCCACCCTGTCCTGGGCACCCAGAAGACTTACCAGTGGGTGCCCTTCTATGGTGGTGAGTAGCCTTCCCAAGTCTTCCTGTTGGTCCAGAAGAGGCAGGGAGAGCTGGCAGGGAGAAGGGGCTGTTAAGAAAGCGGGAGGATGGCAGGACTGCAAGGAAGAGAGAATATTAGCGCTGGGGCTTTGAAGGATCTATAGGAGCTGGGGTGAAAGGGGAAAGCACAGGGTTGAACACCAGGCTGAGGATTTAGGTGGAGCTGTATCCAGAGGCCAATAGTTCTCAAACTTATCCCGGTAGCAGGAAGTGTTGCCGCATTTAGCTGAAAACAGCAAGTTACATAACCGTGTGCCCGGGGCAGCACGCCTCCAGAATTAACGGAAACAGAAAGCTTTAGACACCATAGTGGAAGCAGATACAGAGATGGAGAACGTTCCATCTGTCAACCTCATTGGGGGGTTATTTTTCGGTTGTGGTTTTTTTCCCCCAAGAATTAGAGGGAAGTTGTGGTGATCCCATCCCCGCAGAGGCCTGCCAAGGCGGGTTTGGGCTCTGCTCCAGGCAGGGTCCGCTGGCCAGGCTGGGGGGCAGGGGGAGCCCGGATGAGCAGGGGGCAGGGCTCTGTGGCCCGCGCGTGAGATTGGACGGCTCACGGTGGTGCCCCACTGCCGGGCAGAGGGGGAAACTGAGTCCTGCGGAGGGCCAGTGACACACCTAGGCTTTTTACTGGGCACGTGCTGGGTGCAGGGCCCATGTGCTGAGCGACTTGTGCCCACTGCTGGCCCCCAGACCTGGAACAGTGTTGGGGAAATAGCAGGTGCTCTGTGAGCGACTGCAGAACTAAAGAAGGAATGACGAATGGGCAAGGGTGTGAGCCCTAGGTAAGGTGTAGGGAGTCCTTACCTGAGTGAGTGCCTGCGAGCACGCCCAGGAGCCTCGCCTGGGACAGTCCCCGCGCCGGAGGCAGGACGCCTAGGTGCCAGACCTGGCTGGGCCTCAGCCTCGGCGTGCGGCTTTGGCTGCATCTCACCTGTCTGAGGGAGAGGAGGCGGGACTCGAACACAGGGCCTCCGCGGGCCCCACGCTTCCTCCCGCCCGCAGCGCCCAACCAGTGCGACCTCAACTGCCTGGCCGAGGGGCACGCCTTCTACCACAGCTTCGGCCGCGTCCTGGACGGCACCCCCTGCAGCCCGGGCGCCCAGGGGCTCTGCGTGGCCGGCCGCTGCCTCGTAAGGCCTCCCCGGGGCCCCCGCCGCGTCCCCCCAACACCCAGGCCCCGACCGCGCATCGCGACCTCAGACCCCAGCCCTCGCGGCGCCAGGCCCCGCCCCTTCCACAAGCCCCGCCCTCCAACACAGGCCCCGCCCCTCCAGTCCCAGGCCCCGCCCATCACGCGGCTCCCACGTGGCCTCCTCCCCCAGAGCCCGCCCCTTTCCTCGTGGGCCCCGCCCCCAGGGCTGCCCCGGGCAGGGGGGCCGTCGGGGACGCCGCGCTCGCCCTCCTCGCCCCTGCAGAGCGCCGGCTGTGACGGTTTGCTGGGCTCGGACGCCCACGAAGACCACTGCGGCCGCTGCGGCGGCGCCAACGAGTCCTGTATGTTGGTGCAGCGCGTGTTCCGAGACTCGGGTGAGCGCCCTCCGCGCCCTCCCCGCTAGCGGGAGCGGGCCCTTTAACGAGCTTCGGGCCCGGAAGCGAGGTGCCGAGCGATTGGCCAGCCTGTGGCCCAGCCCCCTCCGCTCTGCATTCTGATTGGTTGCTGCCCGATGGTCCCGCCCTCCCCGGAGCAGAGGGGTCCTAACTCCCCGCTGCGCTCAGCGCGAAGAACCCGAACTCCCGAAGCGGAGCGGCCGTGCGGGGCCCCAGGACCCTGGCTAAGCTCCTTAACCGCAGCGTCTCATTTCATCCTCAAGTCCCTCAAATACCCTCCCGCCTGCGCCCCAACGCCCCTCTTTCCTCCCGGCCAGGTGCCTTCGCCGGGTACTGGAACGTGACCCTGATCCCCGAGGGCGCCAGACACATCCGCGTCACCCACCGGAGCCGCAACCACCTGGGTATCGCGGGGTCCGAGGGGGGCGCCCTGCTGGCCGCCTGGGGGCCCCTGGGAGCCGGGGTCGGGAGGCGGGCCGGCCGCCCCCGGAGCCCCGGGAGCCCCGGGAGCCCGCGCTGACCTGTCCCCTGCAGCGCTGCTAGGGGGCGACGGGCGCTACCTGCTCAACGGGAACTGGGCGGTCAGCCCACCCGGGACCTACGAGGCGGCGGGCACCCGTGTGGTCTACACCCGCGCTCCAGGGCCAGAGGAGAAGCTGCACGCGGCTGGGCCCACCTCCGAAGACCTGCTCCTGCAGGTGCGGGCCCACCTCTGAGGGCGCCGGGGTGGGAGGTGTAGGCGATGGCTGGGGTTCAGGAGGGCGGCGGAGGCTGGGGCCAGAGGACGCTGGGCCATCGGTCCGGTGCGGCTCCCTAGGTGTGACATCCCTCCAGGTCCTCCTGCAGGAGCCCAACCCCGGCATCGAGTTCGAGTTCTGGCTCCCTCGGGAGCGCTACGGCCCCTTCCAGGTGCAGGCGCAGGCGCAGGCGCAGGCCCTGGGCTGGTCCCTGCGGCAGCAGCAGCCGCGGCAGGTGGAAGCGCAGCCCCCTGAACTGCCCGCAGCCCCAGCTACCACTGTCCCACGGATCCCGACCCCCACCCCAGGTGAGGCGGGCCCGGCAGGGGGTGGGGAGCAAGCAGGCAGGGGCGGCCCTTGCCCCTTACCATTCGGCCCCCACAGACGCCTGCGAACCCTGCCCGGACACTCGAGGTCGTGCGCACCGGCTGCTCCATTATTGCGGCAGTGACTTTGGTGAGAGACTCCTTACCTGGCTCCCACCTCTGAACGTGACCCCTGTCCTGCTGACCTCTGACCACGATCTGACTTTACCTTTGACTCCTTGACTTGACTCCAGCTGGACCCCTCCTGACCCTAATTGGACTCCCTGATCTGACCCTTTGCCCTAACCTGACCTTTGACCCCCTCATTGGTCCCTGACCTCACCTGACCCCAGTCCTCCCCACTCCCACCCCTCCAGTTCCCAGGGACCTCCAGGGCCCCATCTGACCCAGCTCCTTTCTCTGGTAATGGGGTGTGTGGGGATGGGTGCCCAGGGTGGAGCGTCCAGCCAGCCTCCCCACGGTCCTGCCCACAGTGTTCAGGGCCCGAGTGCTGAGCCGCCTCCACCAGGCCCAGGAGACGCGCTATGAGGTTCGGGTGCAGCTCATCTATAAGAACCGCTCGCCACTGCGGGCCCTCGAGTACGTGTGGGCCCCGGGTCGCTGCCCCTGCCCACGGCTGGACCTCCGCCGCGAGTACCTGCTGGCCGCCCAGCGCCTCATCAGCCCTGATGGCACTCAGGACCGGCTACTGCTGCCCCACGCTGGCTATGCCCGGATCTGGAGCCCCGCCGAGGACAGCCGTGTGCGCCTGGCCTCCCGGCGCTGCCCCGTCTGAGCCCTGGGACCGGGGCCTGCCGTGTGCAGCGAGAAAGACAGGCCCGACCAGGCTCAGACTCAGCGTATCTCCCCTCTTGGCCCGGCTTAGAAACCTCTCCCACCCACAGCTCTGTGACACCCCGTCACACATGCACAGATGTCCCTGCATGTGGTGAGATCCACTGCCGGGAGCAGGAGGCTCTGGTGAGGACAACTAGACTCTTATTTCCTCTCTCACTCTGGCTGCTGGGAAACTCAGAGATATTTTACACTTGGAAACTTTGTGTCTGCTTTTATTCCCTTTGCCTCACACTGGCTTTTTTTAGAGACACTGTCACCAACAGGCAGGGCCGACGGAAGCGACCCTAACAAGACATCTTGTAAGGTGTCTGTTTCCCCTCTTGCCCCGGCTACCAGAGATGATCCTGAGAGCGTCAGCAATGCTGACTAGGCCTCCTTCCTTTTTATTTCTTTTCTTTTTTTCCCTCTTCTCTCTGCTTTTAATTTCTAAGTAATCCCTACACCCAGCGTGAGGTCCGACCCCACCACCCGGAGATCAAGAGTGGCTCATTCCACTGACTGAGGCAGCCGTGCGCCCCTGGCTGGGTTTCTTTCAGGCCAGCACTGCTATCCATCCCTTCTTTATTCCTACTTAATCTTTACAGCATTTTTTTTAAATTTTTTTTATTTATTTATGATAGTCACAGAGAGATAGAGACAGAGGCAGAGGGAGAAGCAGGCTCCATGCACCAGGAGCCCGACCTGGGATTCGATCCCGGGTCTCCAGGATCGCGCCCTGGGCCAAAGGCAAGCGCCAAACCGCTGCGCCACCCAGGGATCCCTTTACAGCATTTTTAAAAAAGGTTTTATTTATTTATTCATGACAGACACAGAGAGAGGGAGGTAGAGACGCAGGCAGCGGGAGAAGCAGGCTCCCTGCAGGGAGCCCGACTGGGACTCGGTCCGGGTCTCGGGTCTCCAGGACCACGCCCTGGGCTGAAGGTGGCGCTAAACCACTGAGCCCCCGGGGTTGCCCTTTACAGCACTTTTTAAAAACAAGGGCACCCCGGGGGAGCATCCATGGCAGCAGGGCTCTCGGGGGGAGCTGGCAGGCAGCCCCACACTCACGCTGTCACCGTGTGCATGTGCGCTCACATGCACCCCAGCCTTCCTCCTCCTCCTGGCCCAGTGCACCCTCCCCAGCCCCCTGGGGCCACACTTCCACATCAGGCCATCCAGAACCCCCCCACCCCAAGCAGAGGAGACAGCTCAGAGCTCTCAGCCTGTCCCCTGTGCGCATGCGTTCTCCTGGACATAGTCTACTCTGTTCTCCTGGAGCAGGAGGGCAGACCTGGGCCATGTGTGAATTGGGGGCACCTGGACGCTGTCATTCAGCAAACCTTCCCCTGGGGCCACCCTGGAAGAGCCACCCTTTTGCCTCCCCACCCCATGCGATGGTGTATGAGGTCATTTGCGACAGTCTGAACTTCTTTACCATCCGTGGTTGTGGTTTTGTCTCGGACAAGGGATGCTCAACTCGGGGGGTGGGGGTGGGGGTCTCAGGTTCAGCCCCTGACCTTGCAGGTGACCTGCAGCCAGACCCTGCCCCTCTGTAGGCCTCAATTTCGCCATCTGTGGGTACCCTTTCAGCCCATCTTAGCTCTGAGGAGGGGAACCGCACTCTTTGGATTCCTTCTCTGGTCTCCCGTCCTCCCCGGCCCTGGGCCTGGCCCTGACCTCCCCGGCCCTGTCACTGTCCTCCCAGCCCCTGGTCTCCTATCCTCCCTGGCCCGGGCCTCCCAACCTCCCTGTCCCCATCCGCCCTGTCCCTGTCCCCGTCCTCCCAGCCTGGGCCTGGCCCTGTCCCGGTCCTCCCTGTCCCTGGCGTCTCATCCTCCCGGCCCTGTCCTCCGCAGCAAGTGCTGAAGCTGGGCAATCCCTCTACTCCCTCCGGACAGTGGGACGCGGTTCTGGAGGCGTGGGGCCTGGGCGCCCCCTGGTGGCAGGAGGGAAAGGAGGGGATTCAAGGCACCTGCTGGGGCCGCGAGCGGGAGCACCCCCCCCCCGCCTTGCCACCCCCTAGGGTGCCCCCTTCTCTCCTGGGCGCCGGCCTTCCCCCGGAGCGCCCGTTCCCACCCAGCGGCCTCCTTCCGCAGCACGCACCCAGGCCCCCGTGCCGCTCAGCCTTGCCAGCGCTGCCCCACCCCCAGCTGGGGTTACCCCTCTGCCTCACTGCCGTGGTGTGGGGTGTGGCGGGGCGCCGGGGTCCGCGGGGCAGCCCTGCCACAGCCCCAGGCCGGCTGGCCCAGCCGGAGGAGAGGCTCGAGTGGGGTGCGCTCCGGCAGACAACGTGGCCCCGCGAGCAGGACTCCCATCTCTCTGCTGCTCCCTCCCCGGCCCGGCGGCGACATCGTTTCTGGGGACAACGGCGGGACAGTCACAGAGGACAACATGCCCTGGATTTCCTGGTCCACTCTTTAGCTTTAACACAAACAATTAGAAGCCAGAAGACGCTGCCATCCTGAAGCCGCTTCCGCTCTCCCGCGTGGGCTCTGGCGTTTACTGGTGACCGTGTCCCCGCGGGCACAAGGCCCACGCCCGTGTGCACTGGAGACTGGACCGTCGCTCGAAGGGGCCGTAGGGAGGCCGGTCAGGACCGCGCCTGCACCCAGCTGTCTTGGCCGTCGCCCGGGAGCCCCCCCGGAGTGGCCCGTCAGTCGGAGGGTAACCGCAACAGGTGTTTGAGCCCCGCAACGCTCTCCCCAGGACGCCGCAGGATGCTGGCTCCGGGTTCCAATGCTTTTCTTACTATTTTTTCTTAAAAGATTTTATTTATTTGAGAGACAGAGAGAGAGCACTAGCTGGAGGGAGGGGCAGAGGGAGCGGGAGCAGCAGGCTCCCCACGGAGCTGGGAACTCGCCGTGGGGCTCGATCCCAGGACCCCGAGTTCGTGACCTGAGCCGAAGGCAGATGCTTCACCGGCTGAGCCACCCGGGCGCCCCTCTTCTTACTATTTTTAGCTCTCTGCAGCCAGCAACCCCCTACTGCCTGCCCGGGGCCCGCCCTCCCCTCTCTCTGACCCTGAACCGGGCTGACCCACGGAGGACCTGGCCCAACAGCTGCCGAGAGCCCTCGGCTGTCCCACAGCCCCCAGGGTCACGTGCGGCTCGGCCGGTACCGGCGTGGCCCCCGCGGGGTGCAGTGTGCGGTGTCTGCTCCAGATGAAGGGTCCTCACCGCAGAGGCCGAACCCGAGTCCAAGTCCTAACCTCCAGGACCTGGATGGGACCTGATTTGGAAAAAAAGGTCTTTGCAGATGCAGTTAAAAGTCTCAAGATGAGATCATCCCGGATTATCCAGGTGGGCTCTAAACCCAGGGACAAGTGTCCTCGTAAGACAGGGACAGAGGAGACAGCCACGTGGCCAGGGAGGCGACACTGGGGGATGTGGCCGCAAACCCAAGGATGCCTGGAGCCGGAGCAGGTGGGAAGGACCGTCCCCTGGAGTCCGCGCAGGTCGCTCGGTCCCGCCACACTCTGACCTCCGGCTTCTGGCCTCCCGAATGTGGGAGAATGAATCTCTGTAGCTCTCCGCCTCCCCAGGACTCTCAGATGCTCACCCTGCCATCCCTGGCCGGTGCACGCCCCAGGAAACACGAGCTCTGCTCACCAGAGGCCGGTTCTAGAAGGTTCCTAGCAGTTTTAGTCACTATATGCCCAAACTGGAAACCATTCAGTCCAACAGAGGAACGGTGCGCGACCACGCGGCCTGCAGCGCGGCCAGCCTGACAGCGGGGCTCGGGGCCACGCGGCGCAGGGCGGATCCCACGGCCGAGCGCTGCGCGGTGGGGGGGCCCCCCGTTGGCGGTGGCAAGTGACTGGGACGGGCTGGCCGTGAGGCGGCATCACTGGCTCTGAGTTGCTGCTTACACGTTTCTGCATGTTATTTATTTTTATTTACTTTTAATTTTTTTAAAGATTTATTTATTCATGAGAGACACAGAGAGCAGTAGAGACCCAGGCAGAGGGAGAAGCAGGCTGCCTGCGGGGAGCCCGATGTGGGACTCGATCCCGAGACCCCGGGGTCCCACCCTGACCCGAAGGCACTCAACCTCTGAGCCACCCCGGTGTCCCCACTTTTCTGTATGTTTAAGTTACAAACAAAACAGGGGCACCTGGGAGGCTCGGTGGGTGAGTGTCTGCCTTCGGCTCAGGGCGTGACCCCAGGGTCCTGAGATCGAGCCCACGTCATTCGTCGGGCTCCCTGCTCCCTGGGGCGCCTCTTGTCCCTCCCTCTGCCCCTCCCCCTGCTCCTGCTCACTCTCTCGCTCTGCTCTTTCTCCCAAATAAATAAAATCTTAAACAAACAAACAAACAGGTCTGAGGGGCTAAAGGTCACTGTTTCTACCTGGTAAGGTGCGCGTGTGTCCTCCCACCTGTGCCCCCCGGTCAGCCGATCCCTGGCGGGCCGGGACGGTATTTGGAGGGACACATCCCCTTTTGCTGCCCCCTTGGGCGGCGAGGCTGGACGCCAGCTGCAGGGGAGCCTGGTACCGCCTTCCCCCCTGGACTGTGGCCACGCCGCATTCTTCAAACAGCTGCACCAGCGATAAGCAGACTCCCAGGTCCCTGTCCCCAAGGCCCAGGCGACTCCTCCGCAGGGCGGGGGTGGTGCTGCTTTAATGATTAGGTTCCGGCCCTCCCTCACCCCCAGCAAAGCCTGTGTCCCCAAGCAAAAGCCAAAGTCCTCCGCACCAGACACCTGTGAGGTCAGCCTCGCCCCACTCAGCTCCTCTCTCCTGCTCCCTCATTCAGCTCCAGCCACGGCCAGCCCGCCCTTCCTCCCCGCCCGGCGCAGCCCTGCCCCAGGCCCTTTGAGTGTGCTCTTCTCTCTGCCCAGGTCACTTTTGCCCTGGCTGTCACAAGACCCATGCCCTCTGACCTGACTCTCCCGTCTGCATGTCTCTGCTCAACTGTCACCTCTGGAGAGAGGGCTTTCTCCGGCTCTTCCTGACCCCTGCTCCATTCCCCCCCAACATTCCCTTCCTTCTGACCTATATGTTTATCATGCTGTCGTCACCTCCCCAAATCCTCAGGAGCCAGTATTGTTATCTCTCTGGGCCATTACCGCATCCTTGACTGGCAACAGGGCCTGGCATATGGCGGGCGCTCAGTACTTGTTGAACGAGCAAACGAATGAGTCGGACCCGTTGCTCAGCTCAAGGATGAGGACACAGGCTGCAGGGAGGAGGCTGCACAGGGCCGCCTCCGTTTGGGGCAG